AAATCCGATAAATATTTTGTGCCAAAACTTTTACGACATACGTTAATAGCGAAATTTTAGTATATATCCATAACGTGACATTCTAGACGTCAATTTGTATCTAATAGTATTCTCAAACTTTTTGCTTTCTCTACAATCTGAATAATGATACCATCTAAAAGTATACGAGCTTTAGTTTTTGTAAGGTTATTTTTTCGAATATTTTGTTATCATTCCTAAATTGTTACCATTCATAAATCAAGATACCAGTTACCTGTATACAATACACGCGAAAATCATTATCAGAAGCATCAGCGACGGCGCGCTTCCGACGTTTTGCAATTGCGCTTCAAGGTAAGCGTGCAAACTTTATCGTCGTTACAAGGTCCTAGGTTTTTTAAATATTTAATAATTCAATTATAAATATTTAATGCCTATGGATGATGTTTATGTTGTCTTAAGAGTTCAGTTAATTGGTAATCAAACAATTACTTTCAAAAACTATCAAGGCTTTACACTACCCCGGTAATTTATATTTTGAGATATAGACAATTTAGGCATACGAAAGGCGCTTAATGTAGAGAAAACGTTATTACTAGCATAATTTGTGGAAGGGTTTTCTAGTATTATCACTGTTTATTTCGTGTTTTTTTTAATGCATAAGTCAGCAAGAAATATGGACAAAGTTAATGCAGTTGGCTAATTTCCGAACCTACGTATGTTGTGATAAATATGTTTGTAATGTTTTCATAAAGTTGAATAATATATACAAAGAATTGAATAATTTTATCTAAAGGGAAAACCAAATTTTTCTGACGGCTTCAGTTCGACGGGTACGAGATAGAAGCTCGAGAAGTGTGTATTAGCACATGCTAGAAAGAGATAGAAGGCGGCTGATGAGCGAAGTTGATCACCACATTGCCCAGCAACGGTGACGCAGACGGTAGTGCAATCTGCTGCATTGCCATCATGATACACCAGAAAATGTTCGCACAGGCTTTTACAATAAGTTAGGTTACTGTCAAACCCAAGGTGGGGGGCTGTTCGAACATTTAATTTAATATTTGGTTTTCAGTTTGGTTAGAATTATTTATATCAATGTTGATGCCATGGTCTCTTTTTCTCCTCTACAAGATGGCGTAGTCAAATTTTCAATTCGAGGTGTCTTCTTCCGACAGCCATCACCAATTTTGCTATTTCATATGAAATTGCAATTACATATGTACATTTATTTAAATGCATCTCGTTTAAGCGACCTCGTATCTTTTACGGTTTCCGAGATCCCAATGGTTTGAGGGTTGAATTTGAAATCCGGTATTTTTTGCATACTAAAAAAATACGAATTTTCTAGTTTTTCACAATTCTTGATAAATATGATGAGAACCAAATTTCAAGTTTATATTTTCTGGCCTCGAGTTTTAGCTTCTTCTTTAGCATCTCATCGGCGATTAGGCAGAAAGGGATAATCCTATAGGTCAAGAACGTTTCGTACGTGGTCCAATCACAACACGCCCCTAATCGACAGGTTTGATATAAATATAGGGGTCGGCTTCATCCCTTTCTCATTCGTACCTGAAGTACCATAACAAGCAGACATAATGAACGGCTACGCGCGTACGGGTTCCGCCAAAAGGAAGTATTCTGAGGAAAATATCGACGGTTCATACAAGGAGGAACACTCAAATCCATCAAAAAAGCTTCGACGGCAAGACGATGTAGCCAGAGACACGTACTCAGAACAGAAAGCAGCAAGGATTGTCAAGCAAGTAATGAAGACAACAATAGACAAAGAAGCTGAAGAAATGGACGAGGTGTTAACGAAAGGCCGCGAAATATATATTCAAAGGAAATGCATCCAGGCTTTGCTGAAGCAAGCTATCAGAATCAAACTGATCAATCAAATAGAAAGATGCCCTAGCCTTTCTAGGACCTACGCAGCTCTTAGGAGGTCACTGGCAGCGTTCATACGTGATTACTACACAAAAGTAGACGAAACAGGGTTGTTCCTGTGAACCGTATTTATTTATTGTAAGGGAGATAACTATTATGCATAATATTTATATATATTTTCGTACCAGTATTTGTATATTTTGTATTATATTATTTACAGAACTTTCTGGTTTTAATTCCTCCACAAGTGCGCCGCTATTTCTGTCATCATGTCATCGAAAAATTCAAATCAGCGAAAAGCATAACCTTCCTTCTGAGGCAGTCAGGTAAAAACACGGACCTAAATTGTGAATGACTTCCCCAACTTTTTGGTGAATTACTGTTTCTCAGCTTGGGATCTCGGAAACAATAAGAGATAAAAAGCTTCAAAATTCAAGGTGCATCCGACGAGAGACGTGGAAAACAGAATTTTACCAATATCGTTTTAATTTGGTCCTCACCTTATTTGTAGTGGGAATGCGCATTGACACTGATATTGGGAAAATTAATTTCTTTCGTCTCTCTTCTTTATAAACTTAATAAGCTGCATTTTTGAGTTACTTAAATATGAAAATTTGCGCCCATTTAAGTGACTTCGTATCTTTTACCGTTTCCGAGATCCCAACAGCGTGAGGGTCGAATTTGAAAAACCCCGTATTTGTACATAAAAAATATAAGAATAATCTAGCTTTTCACAATTCTTGATAAATATGATGAGAACCAAATTTCAAGTTTATAATTTAAGGGCGATAGGTCAAGAACGTTTCTTACGCAGTCCAATCACAACACGCCCCTAATCGACAGATTTGTACAAATATGGGGGATGGCTTCATTCGTACCTGAAGTACAAGCAGACATAATGAACGGCTACGCGATTACTAGTTCCGCCAAAAGGAAGTATTCGGAGGAAAATATCAACGATACATACAAGGAGGAGTACTCAAATCCATCAAAACAGCTTCGACGCCAAGACCATGTAGACTTAGACACGTACTCTGAACGCAAAGCTGCAAGGGTTGTCAGGATAGTAATGAAGACAATTAAAAATAAAGAAGCCCAAAAAATGGAACAGGGGGTGTTAACGATTCAAGGAAAATGTATTCAGGCACTGATGAAGCAAGCTATAAGAATGAAACTACTATATCAAATCGAAAGGAACCGATGCATTTCTAGAACCTACGCAGCCCTTAGTAAATCAGTGGTAACGCTCATACGGGATTACCAAGCAAAAGTACAAGAGGAGACGAAATAGGGTGAATCGTAGCTATAATTCATTTATTGTAAGAGAGATAAATAATATTGACAGTATTTATATATATTTGTATATTTTATATTATATTATTTATTAAACAAATTTACAGAACTTCCTCGTTTTAATTCTTCCACAAGTGCGCCGTTATTTCTACCATCATGTCATCGTCATCTGACAAAAAACAAATCGGCGAAAAGTATAATCCTCCTTCTGAGACAGTCGGGTGAAAACACAGACCGAATTGTGAACAAATTACGCAATTCTTTGGTGAATTACTGTTTTGCCGTGCACTTAGAGAGATACGCGAACTCGAATTCTATATACCGGGTGTTTGAAATTCGATTTTCAACATTTGTGAAAAGGTAGAAAATTCTTATATTTTTTTATGTATCTACAAACACCCGGTGTTTCAGATCCGTCCCTCACACCATTGGGCTCTCGGAAACAGTGAGAGATACTAAGCTTCCAAATTCAATTTTTTTCCGCGGAGAGACGGAAAAAACAGAATTCTACCAAAACCGTTTTAATTTTGTCCTGACTTCAGTTGTTCTGGGATTGTGCATTAACCTTGCCGCTTTTTTGATATTGAAAAAAATAACAGAATTTTGTAGGTAGGCCTTGGAATCATCAGATAGACATTCTTTTGGTATATCAGATTACATGCTGTCATTGTCACTGTTTCTCCTCTGCAAACTGAAGTAATCAAGTTTTCAATTTGATGTGTCTTCTTTGGACATCCATAAAACTCGTTTTTTTCATATGGACGCTATATTAAGTTTAGTATCAATTAAGTACATTTAAATGAAATTTTCAGTCCCAGATTCAGTGATATATTTCCTTAGTTGGACATGAAATGGTTGTTGAGATAATAGGTTTAGTGGAACCTGAACAAGAAGTGAATATTTTACTTATGGTATCTAATAATAATCATAAATGAGCAGAGGTATATCATAAATGTTGAAAACGTTGTCCTGTTATTTTCTAGACAAGGCCTGACTCTTCTCTGTACATTATTCGCTGCTCGGTTTATTTTCCTTCATTTCAGTTTTTTGCTACTATGTCAATTTGAGATCTGGTCTAGAATACGAAAGAAACAACTATCTGAAAATTTCAAAGCCTACCTAGTCAATTCTGTTTTTCTGAAATAACTGAAGGTTAGGCAATGTCGATGTATGACATATTATATATCTACGGATAATTATAAACCTTATTCACCTGTGTAAAAATTCAATACGGTGTCTATGAGAAAAAATTGAATTGATTCTGGAGAACAAGAGCCAAAATTCTACTTATGGACGTAATTTAAATTTGGAAACTTTTTACGCGGCATTTTTGAGTTAACTTAATACGCAGCTTAGCCCCCATTTTAAGCGACTTCATATATCTTACCGTTTCCGAGATCGCAATAGCATGAGGGTCGAATTTCAAACACCCAGTATTTGTACATAATAAAAATAAAAGAATGTTCTAGCTTTCCTCCATTCTTGATAAATATGATCAGGACCAAAGTTTATAATTTCTGGGCCCGAGTCATTCGTTAACCCAGGCTTGAGCATTTACATCTCATCGGCGATTAGGCGGAAAGGGATAATCTTATAGGTCAAGCACGTTTCTTACGTGGTCCAATCACAACATGCCTCTAATCGACGAGTATAAATATGAGGGCCGGCTTCATCCTTCTCTCATTCTAACCTAAAGTCTCACAACAAGTAGACATAATGAACGGTTACCTGACTACTGGTTGCTCCATAAGAAAAAATTCTGAGGAATATTTATCAACGAGCATTACTCAAATAATACAGACTCCGAACACGAAGCAGCAAGGATTGTCAAGCAAGTAATGAAGACAATTATAGACAAAGAAGCCGAAGAAATGGAAGATGTGTTGACGAAAGGCCGCGAAACATATATTCAAGGCAAATGCATCCAGGCATTGCTGAAGCAAGCTATCAGAATCAAACTGATAAATCAAATAGAAAGAAGCCTTTCTAGGACCTACGCAGCTCTTAGGAGATCACTGGCAGCGTTCATACGGGATTACTACGCAAAAGTAGACGAAGGAGATGAAACAGGGTTGTTCCTGTGAATATTTGTATATATTTTCGTACCAGTATTTGTATATTTTGTATTATATTACTTATTAAAATAATTTACAGAACTTTCTCGTTTTAATTCAAATCAGCGAAAAGCTGAGGCAGTCGGGTGAAAACACAGACCTAAATTGTGAATGACAACAGCGGCCATATATCTAATTTTCTAATACGAAAATAAAATGCGAAAGGCTTTCGCGGCCATCATTCAGTGTTATTTGGTTGGTTTTTCGGATGTCAGGCCGTTGTCAAATATCTTTATTTCACGTTTTTCTCTTTTTCAAGATGGTACAATTAGGAATATGACGTTCCGTTTTTTGATATTTGTCGAGATGTCGAGCGATGTGCACGTCTGCGAGCGCTGCTCGGATAATTTTATAGTAAATGGAAAATATGTTCAGTGCAATAGTTGTAAAACGCGATATCACAGTCAGTGTGTTTCTATAAAAGATGAGGTGCAAAAACTATTATCAAAAAATGGAAATTTATACTGGTTATGTGATAACATGCAACAAAAACTTCAAGAAAGTGCCAGATCTCGGTGGTAAACTGGATATTTAAGCGGAAAAAATTCAATGCCTAAAGCGTGAAAAGCAGTTACTTGAAAAACTATTGAGTGAGTTAGAGTTTTCTAATAATCTATTAAAGTCAGAATTCAACATTGGAGTTGTAACATCTAGCGCAAAAACGGTCGAGATTCCAGCTACGAAAAAATCATCTGTATTTTCGTACAGCAATGCGCTGAAAAAAGAAAACAAACAAAGAAGCAGCTGTTTTGCTGGTAAAAACAAATCAAAATAAGGATGGTCTGGATGTTGTCAAATCAATAAAAAACAATATTAATCTAGCTGAAATCAATGTGTGTATCAATGGAACGCGGAAGATGTAGCAAGGTGCAGCTGTATATTGTAGGAACAGTGAGGACCTGCACAAACTGAATGTTGCACTCAAATCCAAATTAGGTGCTAACTTTCAAATTGCAGAACCAGTAAAGTATAACCCTCGTATTTTGATCAAAAACTTTTCTAAAGGTGAAGAACTGGCTTCAGACGCTGAAATAATTAGTGATATTATCAAGCTGAATGACTTGGATGAGAGTAACTGCAATATAAAACTTGTTACTACGCTAAACATTAGCAATGCCCACCATTTGGTTTTGGAGCTTCCACCTCTCGCTAGGAAGAAAATCATCGATAAAGGCTTTATATACCTACATTGGTTGGAGGAGACATAAAGTGGTTGACCATGTTAACGTCGTTCAGTGCTATAAGTGTTGTAATTTTGGGCATAGTGCTAAAAATTGTAGAGCAGAATCCGTAACCTGTCTAAAATGTTCTGGTAGTCATTTGTTCAATATGAATGATACAGAAAAATGTATTAATTGTCATAAACATAATGAAAAATTTCACGGCAAGTATAGTACTTCACACAAGGCAAATGATAAAGATTGTGCAATGTATATAACAAATTTTGAAAATCTCAAAAGTAGGGCAAACTATGGCAGCTAAGGAGTGCATTCTGAAAATTGGACACCTTAACGTACGTTCTCTGATATCGGACTTTGACGCGGTTGTCAACTTGGTCAAAGCTGATGATTTGGATATATTTGTCACTGAAACATGGCTTCATGCAGACATAACAGATAGTTCTGTAAGTATTAATGACTATGACATATATAACTTTTTTCACTAGGCGCATCACTATCAATGTCATCAACAACATCACATTGGTGGCAGATCTATAAAAAAGATAATCTAAAGGTTTTCATTCATATTTAGAGGACATCCAAAGGGTTTCACTTTTATTTTGCTCTTGTTATAACTGCAAAAAGGCCAAATTAACAATTTTTTTACCGCGGCTCATGTCAAACCCAATTGCTCGCGCGATGAGAGAAAGTCTCACGTAGCGTACACGTGCTCAATCAAAGGGCGTTGTCAACAGACTGGTGTAGGACTATTAATATATATTCCCGCTAAATGATCACCCAAGGTCACGTTTTGGATATGATGAATTGACAGCGGTGTGGATTTTTCTGGGGTGAATTTATCTATATATTTATAAAAATGTAGGAGAAAATCTCACATAGCGACTACTGTCGGGTTAACTTTATTTTTTCTCATGGCGCCATTATGGATTGTTGTACATGCGAGAGTTATCATTGACATTGGAACAACTTCGTAACTCATACCGTTTCCGAGATCCCAATGGTGCGAGGGTCGAATTTGAAACACCCGGTATTTGTATATAATAAAAATATAAGAATTTTCTTGCTTTGATAACAACACATACCTTCGTTACATGTTAAAAATATCAATACACCCGAACATATTAAAAATTATTAAACATGAGAAGACATTTAAGGGAAACAGTTGGAATGCAGTCTTTAACCTCCTACTTCCGCTACACGTGGAGAGGGGGACGGAACGGAAAAATAGTGCGTCGACAGATGACAAGTGATTGACGCGACGGAACGTGGAACTGTAAACCTCATTGTCCAATTTAATTTGGGTATGAAGTATACGAGGGACGCTCGGTAAACCTCCACCAAAGCTAGAACGGCTACATATCCAAATCGAACCAACGTCGTCCCAAAATTAGAATAAATTTCCAATTGCAATTCTGGTATTTAAAATTTCTCACTCACAATCTTTAATATAAACTCAAATAACCCATCTTTTCAAGTGTGTATCACTATCTCACATTCGTACACTCATATGAACTACACATTTTTCCAAAACAAATTAATTCAGCATTTTAGTAATTTGGGTGGAGGTTTACCGATCGTCCTTGTTATACTTCATACCCAAATTGGACAATGAGGTTTACAGTTCCACGTTCCGTCGCGTCAATCACTTGTCATCTGTCGACGCATTATATTTCCGTGCCGTCCCCCTCTCCACGTGTAGCGGAAGTAGCAGGTTAGAGACTGCATTCCGATTGTTTCCCTAAAATGTCTTCTCATGTTTAATAATTTTTAATATGTTCGGGTGTATTGATATTTTTAACATGTAACGAAGGTATCTGTCGTTATCAACAAGCCCAATGTTTCCGTCCTTTTGTTTTTATATTCATAACAAGATCTACCTTCTCTACGTTCATTTTGAAACACCTTGTGGCTGCAACCTCAACGACGAGTAAGTTGTTTGATAATTTAAATCGGTCCTGTATTCGTTGCTAGCATCACAATTGTGTTTTCAGAATCCTGATGAAGGCTCCATAGAGAATGCCGAAAGCTTGATTTTATCGTCAAAAGAGTCAACTCAAGCCTAAAAATTTGCCAATTTCCCAATTAATTGTATTTTGTGCCCAACTGGTCGTTGTCAATGGCAATGACTACTGCTCATATATACATATATGACATTGCAAAAAACAGAATTTCCTAGGTAGGCCTTGAAATCAGCCGATGTTTTTGCGTGAAAATTATAGCGTAAACCGCGTGTCAAAGAATCGCTGATTTTAATTTTTCAGATGACATGATGGGAGAAGTAACAGCGTACTTGTGGAGAAATTAAAACGAGAAAGTTCTGTAAATTTGTTTAATAAATAATATAATACAAAATATAAAAATAAGGGTACTATAATATATATATATAAATACTACTTTAAATAAATGAATTACAGCTACAATTCACATGAACACTGTTTCGTCTCCTCTTCTACTTTTGCATGGTAATCCCGTATGAGCGTTGCCACTGATCTTCTAAGGGCTGCCTGGGTTCTAGAAATGAAACGCCTCCTTTCTATTGGGTATGCTAGTTTTATCCTCATTGCTTGCTTCATCAATGCCTGAATACATCTTCCTTGAATGTATGTTGCGCGGCCTTTCGTCAACACCTCTTCCAGTTCTGGGACTTCTTTGTCTATAAAATTGTCTTAATTACTATCTTGACAATCCTTGCTACTTCATGTTCAGAGTACGTGTCTCTGTCTAAATAAAATGCGGAAGGCTTTGGCAGCCATCATTCAGTGTTATTTGGTTGGTTTTTGGGTTGTAAGACCGTCGTAAAATTTTTTATTTCACGTTTCGCCGACACGACTGGTTGGCATCTGTAGCTCACAGGACTCCGAACGCCAAATGAAAATATTTTACGACGGCCTGACAATCCAAAAACCAATCAATTAATACGAAAAGTTAAAAGTCTGCCCATCGAGTTACTAGATACTGAACTTGATTCTAAATTAAAAATAAAATCAACTTATATTTGCTTAACTTTATATATAATTAGGAATATGACATTCCGCCCCTTATCCTCCAGCATCAACTTTATTTTTTCTTATGGACGCCATATTGGATTTTTGTGAGTAGAGCTCTCATTCCGATTCCAAAAATGTAAAATATGTCATACATTTACACTGCAAAAAAAGGTAGACCTTGAAATTATCAGATAGTCTTGATAAATATGATGAGAAGTTTATAATTTCTGGGTCCCAGTCATTCGTTAATCCAGGTTTGAGAAGATGCATTTCAAAGGCGAGAAAGGGATAATCCTATAGGTCAAGAACGTTTCTTACATCGTCCAATCACAACACGCCCCTAATCAACAGGTTTGGTATAAATCAAGGGGTCGGCTTCATCCCTTTCTCCGCGGCGGTGGCGGGAAACCCAGGTTATAATGCTCACCAAGCCAGGCAAGGACCGGAAGTTGCCCCAGAACTACCGGCCCATCAGCCTGGTTTCCTCGGTGGGCAAAGTAGTCGAAAAGGCTATCGCCGTTCGACTAGAGAAGCAGGCAGAAGAACTGCAACTTCTCCCCCCAGAGCAATTCGGCTTCAGATCCTCCCACAACACGGAACTCCAAGCGCTACGACTGACGGAAAACACCACCAGCGGTTTCAATCTCCAGGAGGCAACCGGTCTCGTCCTGCTGGACGTGGAACGAGCCTTCGACCGAGTTTGGCACGATGGACTCATCGCCAAAATGGAAGCCGCCGGAATAGATGCGAACATGTGCCAACTAATCCAGAGCTATCTAACACAAAGATGGTTCACGGTGAAGATTGGTACATGCCATTCAACAAGACGTCAGCTGGAAGCAGGCGTGCCCCAGGGGTCAGCCTTAGCCCCCCTGCTCTACAACATCTATACTTACGATGTGCCGAAGACAGCTGACACAATGCTGGCCCTATATGCAGACGACACTGCTATAGCCGCCAAGCATAGACGACCCGAGATCATCCGTAGGAGACTACAGGGTGAACTGGACCAAATTCAGGACTGGTGTGTGAAATGGAAAATCCGCATCAACGTCCAGAAGACGCAGGCAATCTTCATTCAACGAAGAAGGATTGCAAGACCTCTCGAAGCATCCATCTTCGATGAAGATATCCAGTGGAGCGACAATGTCAAATATCTGGGGATCGTTTTTGACAAGTCCCTCACCTGGAAAGCGCACATAGAAGCTGTCATCGCAAAAACCAGAGCAGCCATGGCTCAACTCTATCCATTACTGGGTAGACACAGCCAGATGCCGCTAGCGACCAAGCTACGGCTGATCAAGGCCATCGCCAGACCTCAGCTCGCTTACGCCTCCGCGGTCTGGGGGTACGCTGCCCCCAGCTACCGCAAGCGACTTGCTGCTCTAGAGATGAAGCTACTCCGGATCGCCACCAATGCACCTTCCTACGTAAGGAACTCAACCTTGCGTAGAGACCTGCATTGGGATACCATCCACGAGTACATGAGGAAAAAAGCGGAGAAGACCTTCGAGAAAGCTCAGGACCACCCGAACGAGCAGCTACGATTCCTCATGGACTACGATCCGGACGAGAGGCCTCGCAACCGCAGAACCAGGTACCCCAGACCAAGGTCCCAGTTGGCACCCGCTAACTGGAACCTTGACTAGGAGACTAGGAGAACTGCGGCTGCTCCCCCCCCCCTCACCCCACGGCGTGGATGCAGAGGACCAGGAACCACCGGGACCAGGACCCACCGGGACCAGGACCAACCAGGACCAGGACCCGCCACGACCAGGACCCACCAGGACCAGGACCCTTCAGGACCAGGACCAGGAACAACATATTGTTAAGAGGACTTGAAACTCTTGATTTTTCGAAAACAAGAGTTTCAAGAGAAACTAGCAGACCCTCTATCGATGATCGCTTAACGACATCGATAGAATGTGCGAGGTAAAGGGAACCAACCCGGCGTTCCCAGAGACTGAAACACATGAGGAGACGTTGTAGCAGACCGCAGGTCACGCACAACACATGGCCTACCGAGACGCTGATGAGTCGGGCCACGCGGAGGTTTAGGGTTTAGTGGGTATTAGGTGATCTCTTCAAGACCCTGGAGCCCCACACACGTCGTAGCTCGTGCTATGGTATGGTGCGTAAATGCATTCCCCCCTCGTTAGAAAAAAAAAAAAAAAAAAAAAATCCCTTTCTCATTCGTACCTGAAGTACCATAACAAGCAGATATAATGAACGGCTATGCGAGTATGGGTTCTGCCAAAAGGAAATATTCTGAGGAAAATATCGACGGTTCATACAAGAAGGAACATTCAAGTCCAACAAAGCTTCGACGCCAAGACGATGTAGACAGAGACACGTACTCAGAACAGAAAGCAGCAAGGATTGTCAAGCAAGTAATGAAGACAACAATAGACAAAGAAGCTGAAGAAATGGACGAGGTGTTAACGAAAGGCCGCGAAATATATATTCAAAGGAAATGCATCCAGGCTTTGCTGAAGCAAGCTATCAGAATCAAACTGATCAATCAAATAGAAAGATGCCCTAGCCTTTCTAGGACCTACGCAGCTCTTAGGAGGTCACTGGCAGCGTTCATACGTGATTACTACACAAAAGTAGACGAAACAGGGTTGTTCCTGTGAACCGTATTTATTTATTGTAAGGGAGATAACTATTATGCATAATATTTATATATATTTTCGTACCAGTATTTGTATATTTTGTATTATATTATTTACAGAACTTTCTGGTTTTAATTCCTCCACAAGTGCGCCGCTATTTCTGTCATCATGTCATCGAAAAATTCAAATCAGCGAAAAGCATAACCTTCCTTCTGAGGCAGTCAGGTAAAAACACGGACCTAAATTGTGAATGACTTCCCCAACTTTTTGGTGAATTACTGTTTCTCAGCTTGGGATCTCGGAAACAATAAGAGATAAAAAGCTTCAAAATTCAAGGTGCATCCGACGAGAGACGTGGAAAACAGAATTTTACCAATATCGTTTTAATTTGGTCCTCACCTTATTTGTAGTGGGAATGCGCATTGACACTGATATTGGGAAAATTAATTTCTTTCGTCTCTCTTCTTTATAAACTTAATAAGCTGCATTTTTGAGTTACTTAAATATGAAAATTTGCGCCCATTTAAGTGACTTCGTATCTTTTACCGTTTCCGAGATCCCAACAGCGTGAGGGTCGAATTTGAAAAACCCCGTATTTGTACATAAAAAATATAAGAATAATCTAGCTTTTCACAATTCTTGATAAATATGATGAGAACCAAATTTCAAGTTTATAATTTAAGGGCGATAGGTCAAGAACGTTTCTTACGCAGTCCAATCACAACACGCCCCTAATCGACAGATTTGTACAAATATGGGGGATGGCTTCATTCGTACCTGAAGTACAAGCAGACATAATGAACGGCTACGCGATTACTAGTTCCGCCAAAAGGAAGTATTCGGAGGAAAATATCAACGATACATACAAGGAGGAGTACTCAAATCCATCAAAACAGCTTCGACGCCAAGACCATGTAGACTTAGACACGTACTCTGAACACAAAGCAGCAAGGATTGTCAAGATAGTAATGAAGTCAATTATAGACGAAGAAATGGAAGAGGTGTCGACGAAAGGCCGCGCAACATACATTCAATGAAAATGTATTCTGGCACTGATGAAGAAAGCAATAAGGATAAAACTAGCATACCAAATAGAAAGAAGGCGTTACATTTCTAGAACCTACGCAGCGCTTAGGAGATCTCTGGTAACGCTCAAACAGGATTACCATGCAAAAGAAGAAGAAGACGAAACAGGCTTGTTCCTGTGAACCGTAGCTGTAATTCATTTATTGAAAGAGAGATAACAAATATTCATAGTATATATATATATATATATATATTCCCGTATTTTTATATTTTGTATTATATTACCTATTGAAATAATTTAGAGTTATAATAATTTACGTTTTAATTTCTCCACAAGTGCGTCATTACTTCTCCCATCATGTCATCTGAAAAATAGAAATCAGCGATTCTTTGACACGCGGTTAACGCTATAATTTTCACGCAAGCTACAAGTTTGCTATGACTCATGTCAGAGTGTCACATGTTACTGAAAATAGGAAAAAAAATTGATTTCGTGATTGCTTAGATAACCATTTCATTTTCCAAGAAAAAAAGAAATAAATTAATACAGGCGACAGTGCGAATCTTTCATAAAAGGTGTTTAATATCGCCAGTTTCATTCATGCACATAACAATACGGTGCAAAAAATTAACAGACAAAAAATCAAGTAAGGATCTTATAAATAAAAAATATCCTTTGGGGAAATGCAAAAAAAATTCTGCTACAATTTATTTAGGGGTGGGGGTAGTTTTCACCGTTTTCGAACGCTTTTGTTTCTTTTTCGTAAAATTCAAATATTAGGACGTCTAGCAAAACACATGTGTTCCAAATCGACAAACTAGGTATCAAATCTGGCAGTCAAGTCAATACTACTGTCGAAATGATAAAGATATCCCATGGCTACTACTATTCAGCATGTAAGCGCTGCACCGTCGTTAAATAAAAAATAAAAAAACAATCTCCTAGGTAGGCTTTGAAATTATCAGATAGTCATTTGTTTCATATACCAAATTTATCACCAAATAATTTTTATTTTTTTCCTGACTCCATTTGAGACGAGATTTCAAAATAAATTGCTTGCCGTATTGCCACACAACAAGAAATTCATGGCCCTATAAGGAAATACAGCGCTGAATTTTGGACTGAAAAATACATTTGAATGTACAATATAAAATCCCATTTCAATTTCAAACAAAACCACAAAATAAATAACGATTTTTCAATAAATCCGGTATATAAAACAAATAACTGACATTTCAAGGCCTACCTAGAAAATTACATTTTTTTGAAATAATCATCTAGGTCTGGCAATGCCAATGTATAACTTATTTACTTTTGAGATCAAAATTAAAAACTCTACTCACCTGTACAGAATTCCAATATGGCGTCCTTAAGATTAATAAAGTTGACAAGACTCGAAACACCATATTGAAATTCTAATTATGCCATCTTGTAGAGCAGAAAAAGTGGCAACGTTAATGTGCAATTTATTTTGAAATTTCACTACAAATACATCTGGTTAAAAATTAAAACGATTATGGGAAAATTAATTTTTTTCGTCTGTCTCCGGAAGTACTTTGAATTTCGAAACTTACTAAGCGGCAATTTGTTAGTTACCTAAATAAGCAACTTT